AAGTATATAATGAAATATATATGGGTAATACATTTAATCTGAAGGATAACTTTTTAATGATTGCATAGCACAAAACAATAAAGAATATGTTAATTATTATGTTAATAAAATGATTTGATTTCTTCTTACATTCCAAAATAATGATTCATTGTTATAATATGATACATTTAGTTTCAAATATAGTTAAACTGTATGATTTCATATAATTTATTTGTACACAACAAAAACACCAATAATCATTCTTTAATAAGCTATTTCAAATAGAAATTCATTATTATAAAGTTTCTTTGCGTATTATACATTTTATTTCCGTAGAAGGGATTTTTTATAAGACTTCATCAAAATTATAGACAAAAGCATTCGCATAGACAAATCGTGTGATCTAAATTGTAAATTTATGGAACTTTATAATTAATTTTTCGGCTAATAGTATTATATCTATAAGCAAAAGAATACGTATAAATTACTGAAAATTTTTAAAGTATTAAATCCTATTATATAGTTATAAATTATTACCATGATCAATAATATTGCTAATCGTTTATTGGTGAATAATTGCAGCTTCAAACTTCCCATCATAGAATGAACAATGTGAGAATAAAAAAGAGATGAAAGATTTGATAGAAGTGCTTGGTTTCTTTATTGAACATCTAGTGTTTGCTCTTTATTTCTGTCTTTCTTTTTCTCACTACAACCTCATCCCGTCGTCTTATATTATGTGTATAAAAAACAAAAGAATGGAAAACAACGAATGCATAAGATCAGAATTCGACGTTTAGACCAGATTGGATTTATTTAATCCAAAGCAGAAACTTGTAGTAGCCAACAAATAAATATCAATATCATAGAAATTTTTACGACACTTCTTACTTATCAGCATTGGAATTTAATAAAATTGCTAGATACAGCAATATTGCCTCTTTTAAGATTTCCGTTTTTTTTCTTTCTTTTCCTTTGTTTCAGATTTAAAAATAATATATCAAATCCTGCTCGTAAATACGTCGACTAATTATATTACACTTGAAAAAAAAAACGTAATAATTGCTTTTGTTATCCACCAAACCAATGTAATATTTGTTTTAATAGTGAAGACATTGAACATATTGAACACGTTCACATTTATACTTGACTCTTGGCCTATATATGCACATTTAAACGTCAGTTAATATACTCAATAGTTTCATGCATTTCAGTCACTCATTCTGAAGTTCTCAATTCGTAAGAATAAAATTTTGGGTTTGCAAATTGTTCTTACAGTTATAATATAACCCAAAATATAACGTATAAAATATAAATATAAATATACTACTATTTTCAAAAACAAATATATTTAAAAAAAAAAAAATTTATGTTGCATTTTTTTACAATAAATATAACAATTTGGTTATTATTTTCACTGTTTATTTATTTAATAAAAAAAATTTTTTAATTAAACAGATTCTACGTTTGTTTGCAAAAGAGAAAGAAAAACTTGTAATCTTTGATATATTTAGACCAATATTGCGTATCTATTCAATTTGTTTAATATAATTAACTTTGTATCATCAAAAATTTCAATATATTCTATAATACTTTAAGAATCTGTTGATTAAAGTATATTTTATTCGTTGTGAATCTTCGTTATGAAGAAAATCGTAAGCATTGATTTTAACTTTATATGTTGATATATATTAATTTTATTTGAATTCAATTTACAGAATAAAAAAATGTTCGTGTATAAGAATTGTATATATAAATTTAATTTTATGATATATGTGTTTAATCGTAACAAAAAAAATATATGTTTTAAATAAATAAAAATTTACGTATTTATTTAATATCAACTCTAGGTCATTAGATATTTGACGCACAATTTATTGCTATTAATATCATAATAGCTTTTTAATAAGAAAATTTTAAAGATGCTTTTTACTTAAATAAATTTTTGTTTATAAGTAAATATTGATGTTATAAGTTTTCCATGTATAATTATTTTCTGTTATTAAAGTAGCACTATCATGGATATTCCACATAATTAATACAATCAACATTATTATGTATCATAAATATGTATATAATTTAACTAGAAATATATATATATATATATATATATATATATATATATATATATATATTAGAATATAATAAAATAAAGTTTATAAATATGTTTGAATGATAGATTTTGAAAATAAACATAAATATGATATATAAGATATTTCGATAGATAATTTAAACTTAAATCAGTTTTATTTAATTTATGAATTCATACAGTGTAATTTCATATATCCAGAATAAATAGATAAATAATTAATAATTACAATATGTTATTAGTACAAGGATGTGTACGTTATGCATTCGTGTTTCATTATTTTTTATTTACGATATATTTAAATTTCGCACCTGCCATCTCAAGCAAATTTGTCCAGAATTGATGCAATAAGACGAACTACGTAAGTAAGAAGCCTTACCTATAAGCACACGTACCGCCATTGGCCCCCAGTTTATTCATCTACATTATGTGAAATACATGTACAATATAAGAGCATGCACTATCCAAATAATATATATGTATAATTAAAGTTTCATGCATAAGACGAGAATCTTAAAAGTGAATAAGCCACTTTAGAAAATTAACAAATTTGCTTACGTAGTATTGGTGAAATAATAAAAATAAGAACAACATTAGATAATAACATTAATATAAGATTAAAAATTACAATTTTATTCAAATAAAAAAAAAAATTTATCATGAAAATTTATAATGATTCAGATATAATTCTTCTAAATATTCACCTACTTGCTCTTTATTACATAAGCTGATGAGTAAATAATTGTTATAAAATTATTATAAATTTCAACTTCAATAATATTTATACAAATAATCACTGTAATTGGGTAATTTAAATGGATATACAATCAATATTATTCAATAATTTCATAAAAATTGTCAATAGCAATTTTTTTTTTAAACACATTTGATTATATCGTGAAAGTTAATAAGATAAGAAAAATGTTGATTCAATAATTGAAGATATTCAAACAATTAAATAAAGCATAGTAATTTGAATTATTAAAATAAAAAAACATAAAATTCATTTGTAACGAATTATTTAGCGTTACCGCATTTAGCGTTCAATAAATTTTTATGTAATTCATAATTTCTTTATATACTCATTTAGGTATTGATAGTATAAATAATATTGTGTTCGTATTTTATGATCGAATAATTTTAATGTACACGTAAAAATAATAGAACGAGAAGATATTTTAAAACGCAAACATATTAATTAAATGCACTTAATAATAAAATTTGTTTTGTTTATAATTATAACTGCAGTATAATATATCTAAAAACTATTTCGAACTAGATGATGTACTGTAATGAAAAGATAAAAATACACTATGTACTTTTAACTCCATCCCGGACCTTAGATCCGCCATTTTGAAATTTAAAATTTGTCTTTAAATTTATAATAATTAACCTTCGCTACGCATTAAAAGTAATTACTAAAGTATTGTCAAACATAGCAAGACTGAAAATAACATTGGAATATAGGAATATAACTGAATAAAGATGAATAAAGACGGATTATCGGTGGAAGGTAAGGTACACGGCCTCCCTCGTACTTTTCTCGAGATGATACTCTACTTTAGAAATAAGCGTCGGCATACGCGCAGCATCTCTCGTCTTTAGCAACAACATAAATAGATATTAATAATAAAAAAAAAAGAAATGTTAAAAAAATCTCCTATAATTAATATCTAATTAATGCCATAAAATAATTGTATAGAGCATGCAATCCTATTTCACCGTAGTCCATTTACTTTTCCACTTATGCTAGCAGCTTTCGCTTTTCCCTAATGACATCATTGGATGATGCTCGCACATTATATTGCACGTAAAAACCGTTTCCTCGCTCACGTAACTTACACGTGTAAATTACGCTGCCGTGTAGAGAGCTCAACTCTCTACCTTACTTCACGGTCGAACACGCATGGAAAAGTGCGTCGAACTAAGCGAGAGGAGAGAAAAACGCGGAAAAAATTAACGGGACAAGGGGAGAGAAAATTCTCTTTAAAAACAAAAATTAACCAACTTTGTTTTTCGCGCAACGCAACGGCGACCTTGACTAAGCGAGCGCACGCATTTTTCATAAAATAGCCGTACGAGCGTACGAGCGAGCGTGCGTGCGTGCGTGCGTGCGTGCGTGCGTGCGTGCGTGCATGCATGCGTACGTTTACATGCGCTTACGCTACTAATGAATCGCGCGGTAATCTTTCTCCCCCTCGTCCCGAGCCACCTCGTGCCCTTGTCACCTCGTACACATTGTGACAAATGTACGAATGTGCAGCGGCGACTTGTTTTTTTTTCTCACCAGCGCCGCAATCGCCTGAAATGCGTAACAAATGATGCATAAACGCGAATAATAATTACACGCGTTAGCTCGCATACGCACTCGCGCGCCTATTCTTCAGCTTCTGCTCAGCTCTGCACACAGCCTAAAGCTTACCACTATAATAATACATTATAAACGATGAACGTATTAGGAGGAGTCGAATAAATGTGCTTACGTTGGCTCAGGATTTCATGTGCGTTAAATTAAAGTGACGAACAAAATGAAAATTCAACATTATCGAGCGCCGATAGACTATAAGTGCATAAGGGCGACGAATAATCATTGGGATATTTGACGCGTGCGAAATAATGGGTGCGCGAGTGCGTGTACACGTTTGCGAGAGACGAGCGAGGCCCAACGAGTCCAATAAAAGCATACGAAAGAAAAAAGCAAAAGAGCGCGACCGAAGCAGCGAACACACTTTACGCGGAAGAACAAAAATAAAAAGGCATGAAAGCCCGGCTGAGAATTCGTGCGCGTGTAAGGGATTAACGAATTGCAATAAAAGTACAATCGATAGGGGTGAAGGGGCAAGGGGAAAGGAAAAGTAAAGAAATGAAAGATAGAGAGAGGAAAGAGAAAAGAAAAGAAAGGGCGGAAAGTTGGCCGGCCGATGGGACTCACCTGATGATCGCGGATCGCGTTTTTCAGCTTATTCTGTACTGACAATATCTCCTCTTGCAGAGCCTTGGATATCTCCATAATTCCTCAGATCCGATCTTTCCGTGGTCTTTGGGCCTTCGTCCTCGCCTCCTTCCGCACCGCCTCAGGAGCCACAAGGGTGTACGTGCACATACACGCGCGCACAAGCTCGTGCTCAACTCTGCTTGTACGTGTCTCTCAGTGTGTACGTGCGCGCGCGCATGCATATATCTATGCTCTCTCTCTCTCTCTCTCTCTCTCTCTCGTTATATATAAATATATATTTATGTCTATCTATCTATATATATATATATATATATATATATATATATATATAAATATATATTTATGTCTATCTATCTATATATATATATATATATATATATATATATATATATAAATATATATTTATGCTATCTATCTATATACATATAAATATATATGCGTTTGTGAATGTATATATTAAAGCGCAAAAGCGACTCCGTATAGTTAAACGGGCAATCGACGATGGCAACAACTACGCCGACGGAGACGGCGACTACAGCTACGACTACGGCGAATAAATAAGATGAGAGGGTTGTAGAGGACTAGGGTTAGGCCGCGCGCGCGCTCCACTGCGAGAGCGTTTCCGCACTGGACGGTACTTTAGCCGACGGAGAAACCAAGAGACCGAGAGACAAGCGCCACCGAGCCGCCGTGTGGGTGCGCGCAGCACCGGCCCGCTGAAAGCGAGAGAGAGAAAGAGAGAGTGAGCGAGCAAGAAGGAGCAAAGCGTTCAACCTAACCTACAAATTCGACGGTTGGGCTCGTTCAGCAATTGACCGCTACCACTCTTCCAAACACCGTATGGTTTGATCGTTGATAAGAGCCATCATCTCGTCGATGCTGCTCTCCCTTTTAATGCCCTTGCAATCCTATTTTAGTTAACTGGCCGGCACTAACGATGATCCACGCATCCACGCTTATCTTGCATAAATTTAAGCTTTCGCGATATTGTGGATATTTTTTCCCGGTGCATCTTGCATGTCGTTACATTTTATATTAATCATCCATTCGATATTCCATTCCTTGTAAAATGCCTTTCGATGCCTTTCGATATTCAACTCAAAAGTCAAGTAGCCGAGTTTTTAAATATGGCACATTTTAATCAAACTCCGGCCCCATTCCATTTGACCTCATCCTCATAAGCAGAACGAACAACTTAATCAAATATTATATTAAAATTGTCTTTTGGCATGCTACCGACCTGATTAAATCTTACCCCTCTACATTATAAACTTCATTAATTATATATACAACAAAAAAGTAATTACTTTCGATCCAAATTTCTTGTAAATAAATATACATCTATTTATATTTATAAACAACGCAAGCAGTATTCATGAAATTGTATTATTAAATTTAATTGTATAAAAACTTATAATTTATTTCATACTTTCCTTCATATTTCCAAGTACCTCAAATTATATATATATACTTTCAATTTATTAAATTATTAAATTTAAAATTTTATTATATTTTTTATATGAATCATATAATAAAATGTAAGTTTTATATATTCTCACGTATATGCAGATGTGAATACATATTCATATACAAAATATAAATAACTTAAATGACTAAATATTATAAATTATTAATGATATGTTACGGTTATACTATCTTTATATAACATAATCAAATTATTTTACTTTCATTATTTTATTTCATTATTGACCATGAATTAATAATAAGGAATCCTTGAAAATATAGAAAATTTCTAAAATACATACCTATTTTTATGCAATAAATAGTTTATTACATTTTTGTCTGTAAATATTTCCTTATTCAAAAGTCGTAAAAAGAGGTACAAAATTTAATTTAATTATTTATATGCATATCTCTTAATTACATAATGATATATATATTTATACTTGTACTGTTATATATATATATATATATATATATATATATTACATAACAAATGTATTACTGGAACGAACCCTTAACCTCTACAAAAATATTATAAACAATAAATATTTTTTATTGTGATGATAAAATTTTAGAAATTTCAAAATATTTATAAAAATATTCTATACATTTGTTTAAATATATATATTATTCAAGGCTATATAGACTCAATCATATAATCAATATTTTTTTCTTTTTTAATACTGTATTAAATTTTCGTTTACAATTTTCTTAAAATATATCGGCGTACAGAACAATTACTTTAACATTATTGTTCATTATTTCTTCGTAAATTCTATTTTCTGCCATAGTTTGTATAAAGAGAATTAATTCAAATATGTTTCTACTCTAATAGAAAAATAATGATCAATACGACTCTTACTTTTATATTAAATCTATAATGTTACGTACTAGTACATAATAAAATAGAAAAAAAAATTATTTTTGTAACATCTCGCCATTGAACTTATTTGCTACTCAGCTAAACCATAAAATAAGAATTTTAAATATCAGATCAACAGAAATTTATTTAAAAATAAATCTTTCTAAATACTAAAATTCATCTATAAAAGTTAACATCTCAAAAAAAGAAATCGTTAACAATATTTTTTTACCACATTTACTTAATTTTTATTATTTTAATTATTCTTATTCATTTAGTATATTTTTCATTTTGTAGTAAAAATCATAAAATTATCTTATCATGCCCAAATCTTACAATTGATTCAAAACTTTGTCAATATAGTTAAAAATATGAGGAAACAACTTTTCAAACATTATTTTTGAATAAAATTTTTAATTTCTTAAAAGTATATATATATATATATATATATATATATATATATAATATCTATCAAATGACGCATTATTCCTTCTTATAACTTTTACGTGTATATATCATTTATAACAAACACAATCCTAATTTATTTAGTGTTAAATGGAAAAAAAATTTATTTTAAAGATTGTTATTTAATACATTTTTTTTATTATTATTATTTTTTGTAATATAATGTACGGTACATAAATTTCAATGAAAATAAGTATAATAACAAAAGTATAGGTATCTAATAATTGTAAAACAAAAGCTTTATACTGTAAAAAATAAAAGTTGTGTTTATCAATTCATTTATTTATTGCATAAATGATTGCATCTGTAAAGAAAAATAGTAGCCGATAGATCCCTTCAATTTATTTTGAACATTAAAATTAACATTCACATAAATTTTAAAATCGTAGTATTTATTTATTATTGTGAAAGCAATACTTTGGTTATAAAAATGATGGAAATTATGTCGTAGCTACAATAAGCATTAGTATTGATAGTACTGTTTATAGTTTGAGTTTTTATTTATAAGATCTTTTTAAATCATAATACGAATCAGTATTTGTTTAAGATCAAATTTTTTAATATTATATCGAATAATTATGCATATTAAGAACACATGTAGATATATTATAATCACGCATGCATTGCTGATAAATAAAACTTATTTATCATTTTCATAAATATATATATATATATATATATATATATATATATATATATATATATATATATGTCATTAAATATTAATGCTTATTAGATCAACAATTCATATTTAATATTTTCTATTTAATACTGTTAAGTCATAATAATACAAATGCAACCTAACCGTCACGTAACTTAGTATTATGACGGGATTTATGATAAGGTTAAGGTGACCTAATGATAGTATAACTAAAACTTATGAATTTATGTTCTATATAAAAATAAGACGAAGTCAATTTTGTCTTAATTTATATGAAATAAAAGGTAGATGTAAGTTACATTATTACAACAAATCAAATATATCCAAAATAACATCTATTTTACAATTACAAACATATTAATATATATATTAAAAAATTTAATTAGTCTAATATGCACATTACATTATTAATATAAAATAATAATAAAAATTCATATAATGATAAAATTTGTACAATGTACGTTTTGTATAATTATTTGAATATTCACATTAGGTATTACTTTTTAATTTAATTTATTAGTTACACACAATGCTTAGGGAGTTGAAAGCTGTCATCCATGGTACGTACATATGTATTAAAATATAAACGTGAAAATAACCCTTTCTACGCTATTACTTTGTAAGTATATAATGCTCGCTTTAGCATTTCTTCATGTATACCATAAACAATATTAATCATATTATAATTAATAATAAAACATAATCGCGCAATATATTTAATCGACGATCACATTACTTGACAACACATGCATTGAGGAAATAGCGTCTGTTTATTTAACTTATTTTATACAACATGGCTTATTAAAAGTGATTCAATAAAAAGTCAGTGACAGTGTAGACGGGGCGCAAGAGGAAAAGTTAGTCGAGGAAGGGATCGTAGACGCGAGTGTCGCGCACCAGGTGCTGAAGCTCTCACTCTCTCTCTCTCTCTCTCTCTCACTCACTCACTCACTCACTCACTGACTCACTCTCTCTCTCTCTCTCGAACACACGCGCACACTCCCCCCGCACTGTCACTTGATCTCTTTCTATCTGCTTTTCTGCCTGTCTCTCTGTCTCATATACCTGTCTCACACTCTTATCCACAACTCGAATTCTTGCTGGCACAGTTTCGTACTCTTTGGTTTATATTTTATTACACAGATGTGCATATGTATTATATGACGTATATAAATAATGAAAAATTATCGTCCATCGTGATCAGAAAATATAGTGAGAAGTCGAGAGAGATAGAGAGAGAGAGAGATAGAGAGAGAGAGAGAGAGAGATAGATAGATAGATAGAGAAGAGATATAAGAGAAAAAGAAATATAAAAGGAAGGGGATGAAGCAGGAAAAAAAGGAACGATGCCGAGAGAAAGAGAGATAGAAGGCAAAATATAAGAGAGATATGTTTCTATGACTTCACTATTTTTTAAACCAGGTTTATATGTCCCATTCTTAATTTCTCTTTAATGTTAAGGCTTATTTACTTAAATGGTATAATGCGGAGTAACCGCGATTGCCGCGTGCATCACGTAGCAACGAAATTAAAATTGCCAACCATTACAATATTAAGTTTTTATGAACTAATCTATTTTGTATAACTTATGCAAATTTAACAAATTCTCTTAAAATTTCCTTCATTTTTCTTGTCAGCTAAACAGCTACATTTGTAACTCTCATATATTAAAATATTTCTTTGTATTCTAACGATGTATTTTAATTGTTATTACATATTTAACATATCATAATTGATTACAAAATTAATAATTAACAATTTATTTTATTTATTTATTTTTCTCTTCAATAATTTTAATAGCAAATAAATAATGAAAAATACAATTATGAAATAATAATTTCAAATTCTCATTCTGCAAATAATTTATTTTTAAGACGGAAAATAATCTGTCATTAACAACAATAATACATATTCTATAAGTTATCTCTATTCAGCTTAAATTGTAGTTGCAATGATCAAAAATTCACGTAGATTAAATTATAGCGTTGTCAGCCTGTTTAATATATACTGTAATACTTTCAGCCTTGATTTTTTAAGAGACAACTGCTTTTGTTATATAAATAAAATGTGGTATTTATTTCACATGAATGAAGTATTGAGAAATTTGTCCGAACTATTCAACGATTGGAGAGAAAACAACGACCAGACAAATAAATCGCACATCATACACCATAAATTAATTAATGCAATTGTGAAAATAAATAAAATAATAAGGGAATAGAAAGTTTGTAGTAAACAATAATATAATATATATCCTCGGGCTGGATCCCTCGTGTGGAACTATGTTTTAACCTTGCTCAGCATATTAATAATTATAGTATATTCGTTATTTTCATGAATTTATCTTACTTTGCTATTAAATCATTGTCATTCGTTAAATAAAGAATTGTCGTGTAATTATTTTAACAAAAATAACGTTTATTATTTATTTTCAAGAAATGTAATTTATCTTTTTAAACTATTTATCATAGATAATTTCAGAATGGATTTTTGGATTGGGATACTAAATCGTTTTAAATTATGTAAATCGTTATAAAATATTATATTTGAAAAATGTGTAAATAATTATCTGCAACAATAATCTGTAAGAAATTTAGAGATTTTATATTTGTGTAAATTAAATAAATAAATATTATAATTTAAAAAAATATATAATTAAATAAAAATTAAAAAATAATGTTATTATTAGAAAATTTTGGTAATTATGTATTGTTGTTTGAAATAATTAAGTATAACAGTAGTTTTAATGAAAGAACGTTTAGAAATCTACAGCAAACCATACAAGATAAAAAATAGCCTCTAATTTATTCTATTTTAATTCTTTATTCTTAAAATAAGTTTTGTAGTATTAGGTTATAATAAAAATCTATTACTTTCAAATATATCCAATTTAAAAGCAAATTTAAATATTACAATTGAATTTAATTTTAGTAAATTAAATATTAATATTCGCCATTATAAATTAATTTATATTAATTCAAATTTATAATGTAATGTATCAAGAATAATGTAATTGGCCATGAATAAATTATGGATATAAACTATTATACAGATTATTAATATACATAAATATTTAAATAAAATGCTGTTTAATATATAATGACTAATTATTTTGTAACTTTATCTGAATATAATATTTTCTCTAATAATTATGAAAGATCTAGCAATACATCTTTGTTTAGCTTGTATTTATGATTACATTACACCTTTATTTAATTATTTACTTACATTATAGCGTGCATTAATATATTTATACTTATAGTAACTTAAATTTTAAAAATAGTTAATTTTATTTAATAGTTTATTTATATTTGTGTATATTATTCATACTTCATTCTAAATAATTAAAACTATAATTTAAACTGAAAATAAAATTAAAATTTATCTTCTTAATGTCTAAGATCCTTAATGCATAACCAATTATTTGAAAATATAAAAAGTACCCGACAATTAATAAATATAAGTATGCAATAGGTGATTTAATAATAAAGAAATTTTTAAAATTATATATTCACTTATTGTAATAATTACAAGTTAAGTTGTTAAATTAATACATAATTAAAAAAAAATATTAATATTAATACTTTAACTATAAATATTTTACACTATAAATTTATGAGTAAAATTATTTCAATCTCTATTAAAATGCATACTAAAAACTTTACCTTAGAGTAAATTTTATCAGTTTATCAATCTTATGAAACTATTATTTATTAGTATTACTATACTAATTATTTCATTAATATATATTTTGATTAATTGTATTAATTAATATTACAATAAACATGTCATTAATTAAAAATGGAAAAAAATATAATGAAGCCTTAGTAATTATAATTTACCTTATATAATAGTATTGAGATTATCTAAACACGCATACTTTTCAGATATGAATATTAAAAATTATATTTATGATTACAGTTTTGTGAAATTAAATTTTACAACATTTAATTCATAATGTTTACATTAATTTATATATATATATATATGGAACAGCTTATCAAATTAAGTAAAGTTAAAAAATTAAATATACTCAAAAATAATATTTTATTTATTGATTATATAAGTTTTCTAATTATCCCCAGTATTATAACAATTTGTTTTAGGTTACTTTGAATGTACTCGCCAGAAAATGACAATATTTAGATAAAATATTTATGTATTTTTTATATTATATAGAAATATTAGTACACATTCATTATGATGTATTATTGTTATTTCAAAATGAATGACTAAATTATATACAGTATAAGCTAATTAGGAAATCTATAAAAACATTAAACAATTTTTTTATATAATTAAATGTGGTACAGTAGAATGGCAATCTTTAAAAGTAATTAACTTATAGACTTATTACTTAAATTATTAATAAATTAAAAAACTTTTCTTGTTGTATAATCTTTATTATAAGCGTACAAAAAATAAAAAAAGAATTATATAATTGTGTGTAAATTTTTAAAAAGATTTATAAATATATAAATAAATAAATGAAAATATCAAAATGTACTTTATAATGAAGGTAAAAATGGAATATCGCAAATAAAAGTTTGGAACAAAAAGTTTATGCCATAAATACTATACAATAATATAATAATAAAATTCAAAAATGATTTCTTTCGGTTTAGATACAAAAATTTTATGTACTAAATATTATCAAACGGATTTTAAAATTGTGTATATTAATTGTATGAACACTTTCCTACAAATAAAGAAATTTATAAAATTTTTGTAAAATTCATATAGTTTCAAAATAGTTTAGAATTTTAAAAAATATAATTCAAAAAATTTCAAAATATTCATTCAAAATAGCCACTAAATGATATACTGATGATAATTGCAATATATCTTTATCATCGGTTAGCTTACATATAAAAAAGAAAAAAAAAGAAAGAAAAGTACATACTACATAACAAAAATATTTATAAATTTATATGAATAAGACAATACTTAATTGATATTATGACGTATTATAGAAATGATAATGATCACCAAACAAAATGTTTAATTATATAAAAGAAATTCTCGTGTAAAATTTGATAAATGCTTTATACGGTATTTTTCCGAATTTCTAAATAATTTTACAAAGTGAATGATAAAGCATTGGAATAGCGTTTATGAACGTAAATCCAAATAGCAAATTATTCAAAGTATCGTGTATTGAATATGGAAATGTATCAAAAGCGTCCTCTAATGACGAATAATAAAGTTACCGGAAACAAGTCATTATTTTCCCAATATTATAATACACACAATTTTCTCAATAAATATTCCGATAATTATTTAAATATTCTAATCACAAATGTATTAATAATACATACACGTTTGTTCTCTGTAGATCTTCTAATAAAATTTTTATTTTATAAGTTATTATTTCTAATGTCGTCGGTTTAAATAGTTGTAAAATTAAAACACGAGTAGTCAAAAATTATCATTACAAGCCGTGTCACTGAAAGGAATTCTGTTAAAGCGCGCCTTTTCAAGGGATTATACACGCGCCTGTATTCTGATTCCATGACGTCCTAAACGTGGAAAGGCGCCGTTGTGCTGCCCGAGTTTGGCTTTGTTCATGTGTAATTTAGGTGTGCCTAGAACGAGATTACGTTAAATCGTTATTACAATTTATAAAAAAAAAAAGTTTAAAGAATCATTAAAAACAAAATCTTGTGGTAAGCCGAATTTTAATCTGCATTGTTTATGTTAATGGCTACATTGTGCAAACTAACGCGAAGATTTTAAGGTTAAGATTTAGCTTTAATATTTTGTAAAACTACATTTATAATCTACTAATTATTTGTAATATCACTTGACTTGATTTTGATAATTAATTTTGATATCTGAATTTAAATGTGTTAAGTAATTCTTTAATTTAAATATAGAGCCTCTGAATACTGTGTTAAGTTTCCTTTAATTTCACAATAATACCATTAAATGATATTGGATAATTACTTAATGGTTTCTTTTTCTCTATTATGATTTAAGTTAATGAAAAACTATGGCAAATAAACGAAACGCAACATCAGATCTTAATGCTGACAATTGGAATAAAGAAGAAGAACCTGAAGATGCTGGAACATTTTTGAAAGCAGCAGATGATATCCTTAACAAACGTGTTGTAAAAATAGCTAGGCGAAGACTTCCACAGGGTCAAGATGTAAATATTTTTAATTTTCCTCGTGTTATAATATAAATGCATTTAAAATTCTCCTTCATGAACACATTAATAAATATAGATATATATAAATAAATTTTTTTTTTTTATTTGCAAACTATTCATTCACGAATATAAGCAAAATAAATGTGTATATATTAAGCAAAAGCAATATTTTTTTAAAATATAAATATTGAAGTAACTTTATTATTTTAAAATAGTATTTACATATATTCTTCTGTGTTACCTAATTATATTTATAATTTTACTTTTAATACTTCAAATATAAAATATTTTTATATTGAGTATAGAAATTAAAATAAAAAAGAATGATTGATAAAATAAATTAAAATTTAAATTGAAACAATGTAATTGATGAAATAGCAAAATATCATTATTCGACAAATGAAATACAATTTTATTTAACACTTATAAATAAATTATAGAAGTATAAAACAATCTTTTATTATGTATTGAAGTGAAATTTTAAAGCTTATAATTTAGTATAAAAATGAATTTTCTTTTAAAAGTATAAAAATAGTGTTCAAAAATGAAGCATTTTCCAAAACCTTTGGCTCTTGGAAATTTATAAGCTTTCTTGTCCCAAGCATCAGCTAGAGCGGACGGAAAATTATTATTAAACTATCAAACATATAGTTACATTCATTTTTTAAATGTAGGAACTTACTCATTACTCGAGAACTTTTATAAAATCAAATTTATTTATCTATTTAAAATTATTCAAATACGAGAAGCATTGCAAATAAATATAGCTAATATTAATTATTTATTTATTTAAAATGTCATATTTAATACATTTATGATTTCATACAAATAGAAATTAAAAGTTTCTGTACATTTGTAAATCATCAAACTGTAATGCTTTCGTATCTTCTTTTTTCTATAAAACTTGTTTCCTTGACTAATAAATAGAAGCTAAAATTAATTTTATCTTAACTACTTTTTATCTAAGTATGTGCTTAAAAATTGAGCAATAGTATCGTTATAATTATTCATTCACAATTTTAGGATTTAAGAAAAAGTGCGTTTGGCTCATTTACTGGTTTTAAATCAATGGCTACTTCAAACACATCTTCACCCTTTAGTTTCCTAGCAAAACCAAACACAGATAATAGCACAATAGCTTCTACAAGTTCAAGTTTTATACCAAGCAAAACTCCTACAACAAATGGATCTATAAAAATTTTAGAAAATGGTACAGGTATTTCAGTATCCCCTACATTAAATACGAAAGATGTGAAAATGACAAAACCAGTATCTACTGAAAAAGAAAGCACATCACCTAAGAAACTATCAGAGTATTATGCAAAATTAAAGGGTCTTAATCAAAGTGTAACGCAATGGATAAAAACACATGTTGATGCAAATCCCGTGTGTATATTAACACCAATATTTCGTGATTATGAAAAGTATTTGAAAGAAATTGAAATCAAGTATGTCAAAGAAATTAAGAGTCTTAAACCTACAGACACAAAGATAGAAATTAAATCAGAAATAAAGCCTGTTGAAAAAGATCAATCATTGGTTTCTAGCGAAAAAAAACAAGAAAATTTCATTTTTGGTGGTTCAAGTTCTAAGCCTTTAACCAAGGAAACTTCTGATGATTGGAAATCTGAAAAATCAGTTTTTGGAACTAAATGTATATCTACTAAATCGATATTTTCTTCGGATAAATCTGATAAAAGTTCCTTTAATGTATCATTTAATGCTGTTGGTGAGAAGAATCTTTTCTTAGCCAAGTCGTCTACAATTGACACTAAGGACGGTGAAGAATCATCAAAAACAGAAGAAAAAACTGTCAGTGGTTTAACATTTCCACATGCCACATTAAATTCCACAGTTTTTAGTTTTGGTCAAAGTTCAACTGCCAGTACAGCTTCTGCAGGATTTAGCTTTGGAGGGTAAGTTTAAAGAAAATTGAAATATTGATTTTTCATGTAAATAACCAAATAAACATTTTACTATATTTTATTACTTATCTATCATCATTTATCTATATATTGAGTTAAATTTATATTTCGGAATTACATTTTTCCTAATAAGCTTATGCACAGACGTTTATCATTGTTCAATAATTGTTATTAAGGGCAAAATTCTAATTTATAAAATGAATAAAATATCAAAAAACTTGGAGCAAAATTGTGGAGAAATACCGGGTGAAAATATCATATTTTATACCGAAAACAAGATTTCATTGTGCAAGTAGTATTAAAATGTTAGTTTGAATTTATTTAAATTTTCAAATAGTAAGTTTAAAATATTACTTTATTAGTTATTAAAAATATATGATAATAAACATTAAGATAGGCCATTTAATTTAATAATTTATACCTATTTTTAGTTAACTGATACATACGTATGAAACATTCATTCACTATCTTACTTCAAAATAAATATTAAATATTAAATAAAAATATTTGCTATGTTAATCTAAAATTTATTTAGAGGTAAACCATTTACATTTGGAGGTGCAGTAACAAAGCCACAGGAAACTGAACAAAAACCAGTTAAGGAAGAGGAAAAAGAAGATGAAGACGATTCACCTCCTAAACCAGACTTTGAACCAGTTAAAGAATCAGGATCTATTTATGAACAAAAGTAATGGAATCAATGGTTTACTATTTTAAATTAACTGCTTTTTAATCTATTAAGATATTTTTATTTAGTCCCTTATTTACAATTATTAAAGTTCCTATAAAGTATCTATTATGTATATTTTTTATTCAGTATTTATTGTAAAGCATTAATTAATAAGGAAGGTATATAGCTTGGTAGAATTAATATTTATATTTCCAAACATTGAAAAATTTTCTATTTGTGTAATTATGAAAATTAATTATATTTAAATAAAATTACAGATGTAAAGTTTTTGTGAAAAAGGATGGAAACTACAGTGACAGAGGAGTAGGTACATTGTTTCTAAAACCAACTCCGAACAATAAAATGCAGCTTATAGTGCGTGCAGTGAATTCCTTAGGAAATCTTTTATTGAATACACTTCTAACGGAAAATATACCAATAAAACGTTTGAACAAAACGAATATAATGTTGGTATGTTTGCCATTGCCCACATCGGAACCCCCACCTACTGCAACATTACTAAGAGTGAAAACACCCGAAGAAGCTGATGCACTTTTCGAAGCCCTTGAAAAGTATAGGAAATAGTGGACCCGATGGTCAATTCTATCTATTTCGAACTGATGTAATATGTACACACATTTTGTCGCTGGCGAATGGCAAAAAAAAATATTTACGCAACATTTTCAGATGCACAAGTAAGGGAAACAAATACGTTTGTAATGATTTTTAAAATCTTTTCAATAGGCTTAGTAAAAAAGTAAATTACTTTAATAATTTTGCTATACGATGTTCGTATTTGTTTCATTGAAGATTACATAATGTGTCAATCTTTATTTTTCAAGAATTTGTTATTTAAATTTTTCATCAATTTAATTTCGTAGAAACAAAATTAATAAGCACTGTTTCAAGTTCATAATTCACAAGATTAATATTGCAATGTAAAAGTGGTTTATCCATTTAGACTGTAGGTTTAATAAGAAATACAAAAAAATTATAGGACATAGATTCATAATAAAATTTATTCTTAAGTATTTCTTAATATACTTACAATTTGTGTAAAAGGTAAATTTTAGAGAAGGATAAATGTAATTTTGAAGATCGGCATTGAACAATCTTATTTTTTTGACTGACTAAAACAAATTTATTCATTTTCAATTAAAGGAAAGAATTGATGAAAGTAAAAGAAGTCATTTATTAGAAAATAAATTAATTTTTATTATGAAATTGTATTATTTACCAAACACTAATTAATTCAATTTTATGTATTTATTCATTTAATCCCCAATTATGTTTTTAAAAATCTGCAAATTTAGCGATAGCTATATCTACATATTGGAATGAATTTTTGTCTGAATTTTTGTATTGAATAAATATAAGAATTAAAACATTACATTCTTAATTGAATTTAAATTAATTAGTGTTTGGTTTAAGAAATAATGCACGAGATTTATTAACATATTTAAAAATTCCTTAATTAAAATTCACTAAATATTTTCAAATAAAATATATAATTATTCAACAAATACTTAATTATCGTATAAAAATATTATTATACTTGAACTAAAAATATTAATTTGTCCAAAAATTGTTCAATGCTAATATCTAACCAGTCACATTTATATTTAATTGTTACAATATTTTGAAAGTGTCTAAACAAAGTAATCATCAGGTGGTATATATATATATACACACAAGCGCGCGCGCGCGCGCATATATATATATATATATATATATGTATATGCATATATATATATATATATATACATTTGTATGCACCTGTATATATAGATGCATACACACGTGTAGATATATATATATATATATATATATATATATATACCGATAATTTGAAAAAAAGTGTAATTGATTGTAGAGAAAGAAAGGAACTGACTGAAATGTTTTATGTAAAAATGTATCTGCTGCGTACCTGAAACGCGTGCGGTAGTTGCGAAAATTAAACATTTATATCTTACGTATGAACGAATGGAAAGTATTTAAGATGTGTAAAAGAGAAAAAAATTAATTGATTCAGAAAAAATCGACGTGTTAAATTTTTTGCAGGTAAATATAGTTTCGTGTATTTTATAGCATTTTTTAAATATTTTTAACTGTAGATAATTAAGTTTCGATAGAACGCCAACAAATACTAGGATATGAAATAAATATTCAGAAAACTGATAGAAAAATGTAACATTTTCTATCCGAAAACGTTTAACTGCATATGTAATATTTCTAGATTAATTGAAAATGCACGTTTATTGTCAACTAATTTGTTTATAACACTTGTATCATTCTATTATGTTATTGTTTTATACATAATTTAGAATATATTTTTTTAAACAAATTTCAAAATGATTTATGAAAAATGTATTTCTATTATCAGTATCGAATGATTACAAATTAAACAGCTAATTTAAAAATTAAAAAAAATAGGTCATTTGTAGATAAAAATAATATTATAAAAGCATGGCAAATGATGAATAACAACCCTTATGTTATGTTGTAGAAATATACATTTCTTATTATATATAGGTAATGTAATAATAAATACAAGTTTTTTTAAATCAGTTTATTTACACAACTTTCGAAATAATGCTTTACTTATGAATGAAAAATAAATTTAAAATACAAGAACTATTATGACATGAAAAGTAATATCTAAATCTTTTTTTGCAGTCGATGTAAGTTGCAGAAATTGCATTTTTAGTAATGCATTGAACACTTAACAAACGTATTATTGTACATTTCTTTTTTATATAATACTTATAATATAATAATTAAATTAAAATGAAGAATTTCAAAATTTACATATTTTCATTCTATTTTAATTAAACTAAAAGAAAGTTTTTTTTTTAGTGATATATATAAAAGCGGAAAACTCTGTTAATTAATTACTTAATTTTAATAAATTTAATCATTTTCAACTATCTATTATTTTTAAATACATATTTTAAGAATCTAAATTATTTTTGGGTATCTAAATATGTCATATAATACAATACTTCGATTATTTGAAGAATATAAGTCTACGTGTAAATTTTACATAAAAATTAATATAATTCTATAATTGTTATGAAATATTTGAACTGTATGACTATTCTGAATGTGCGTGCACGCTGCATGCGTGCACGCGACATATATATATATATATATATATATATCTGTACAATTTTTTTTCTCTGCGTTAACGTGCAGCATCCTATATTTATTATGTATGAGTGTCATTTAATTATATTAGTAATTAATAATTCATTCAAATTAATAATAGAAAAGGCTAGTGTATCACCAGTACAATTAGTGATGTGATTATATTCTGAGCCATTACTTTATTCTTCAAATAGCAAGTACAAATTAAAATTTCCTATTTAGGATACAAGATCTAAACTGAAATTTAACTAATAATTATCAAATATTCATATAAATATTTTCTTATGAATAGACAAATAAATTTTTCTGGATACATTGTCATATTGCTTTAATTACATTTTAACAAATTCATACATTGTGAGCTCGCTCTTATTTATGACTATGATTTTTAATCAACAAGGTTCTTAATGTTATAATCTTAATGTCAATCTATCTTTAACTACAATTTAAATAATTGTTTAAATAATTTAACAATAAAAAAACCTTTATATTGTTCATATGGCTATCGATTTCTGCATGAATAGTGAAAGTCAATATTTTTATTTGAAAAATTATGGAAAAATATTACATAATTTAAATGGTTAATTTAACTGTACATGTAATTTATGGCCTAAAATTATCTCCTCGAACTGTGAGAGTCACGTAATGTAATACGTGTGAATGTGGATAAAACAAAAAATTTATATTAAATGTACTAATGAATTGGTTCGAAAAATATATTAATAAAAAATACTGCCAATAAACTTTTTTAACTAGAATCATAAAATAAATAATTCTGTATTCATGAGAAATTTAAAAAGTAACCTGTATGCAAAGTAATTAAGGTGAGTCAACAGTCAAATTAAATAATTCAATTGCTGATAATCTGATGCATAATATTAAAAATTACATTTGCATCAACATGAATTATTTGTAAGTTAATATTAAATTATACATTGTAATCTGTAAAACAAGTATCTTTATTAGGAATAATGCAAATTTTTGCATTCAATAATTGTTTCGAAGACAAAATAAAATTATCATTATCAAGTACAATATCAAGTAAAGATGATCATGAGCTAGCTGAAGCATGCAAATGGCTTCGTGTTTATGTACATTAATGAAATAAGTACTGTCTTACAGAATAATGAATGTTATTTACAATCAAATAGAACAAATAATGTATCAATAGATAATGTTATAAATTTTAAAAATAATCCGATGTCTAATTGAATTTATATAATTGTGCAACAATGTATCAAGACTGTTAAGTACCTCAAAGGAAAACTTCTAGCGTTAGTACAGTTAATAAATAAGAGTGTGTGAAACAAATTTAATTACAAATAGTTAGTAAAATAATTAAATTATGTTACTAAGTTAACTTTATCCAATGACAAAGATACGAAAATATGTTATTTTAATTATTAGTAACACTAATTTCTATTACAAAAAAGGCAACGATTAATATCACAAGTTAAAGGGCCCTATTGGTGCATACATTTGGAAATATTTACTAAATTTACTTCATCGATTAATGGAAAAAACAAGGTGTAATATAAATTTAGAATGTAAAAAAACATCTATTCATGAAATTAATAAAATTAATCTATACAATGAAACATAAATGTTTACAAATATATAAATTAATGCAATCGTGAAATATATTAACATTGAATAATTTACCTGAAGATATGATATTTTTAATATCAATATAAAGAGATAAACAAAGATGATAGAATTAGAGTACAGCTTTAAAGATATAGTATCCACATTTCAGTTTGGTCGTAAAAGAACTATGACAGTCAAGGTACACACTGATATCTACAAACTGGAATTTGAAAATATGAATAATCTGAATTTTAAATCTGAATATGTTGTCAAAGACGTAAAGCACAAAATGTAAGTTTATCATCATAATATCTTTATAAGTTTTCTTTTGTAATAAATATAAGAAATTTTAAATTGAAATATTGCACTTAAGGCATAATGAAAGAATAAAGCCATTGAATGAATATTAATGTACAATAGTGTGTGAAATATAGGACTATTATTTCATCATACATATAATTTTATTTGCTTAAATCAATTTCCTGTAATGGACTTTGATAGTATTTTTTTATACAAAAAATTATATACATATATACATACATACACACACACACACACACACACACATATGTGTATATATATATATATATATATATATACACACATATGTGTATGTATATATAATTTTGCTTATTTTTTTCCAAACTAATTATTGGAACATAAAAATCTATTTTATTATTAATTAGTATTAAAAAAAAAATTAAATTAACAGTGATATATGTTAATGCTATTATGAATGGACGTTTTAATAGTCATTATGAAATGTGTATTTACAACAAAAAATATATCATATATGTTTTACCTTTGTTTTTACTTTATATATATATATATATATATATATATATATATATATATATATATATAAAACTTTTTACAATTATAAAATTATAAACTTTACATATTAACGTCTGTTTAAAGAAATAGCATGTTCTTGACAATAAGCCATTATTAGCATGAATCTTCATAACGTTCTTTGACTCTAATTTTCAATACAATTACAAATTTTAAAAAATTCATTGATAAATTTTTTGCACCATAAATGGCGTTAACGCACCTATTTGTCCCAACCCCAATTGTATATGTTGCATGTGAATTTCAACACAATTTTGAAAAACTTGTTGATTTTGTGGTGTAAGTTTTGATCTAATTTGCTCCATTGTTCCTTGTAAAACTTTTAATTCATATGCATTCCTATCCGAATCTGACAAACACTAAGAAAAAATTTGGTTAATGTAGAAAATAGTATGTGTAATTACTTCATTTTAATAATAATTTTAATAACTTAAAAAAATCTAATTAAATAAGTTATATTTAAATTTATGTAATAATAAAATATTGCACGAATAGAGACACATATTTGCACATTGTAACGAAATAATAAGTTAGAAATTTATTTTTATATTTTGTATGTTATTGATAAAAACTTTAAATTCTCATAAATTGAGTTACTTTTAAAATTCTATCCAATAATTAACTTTTACTTATTCAATCTTTTAAAAATTAATATGAATCATGATATTTTAAAAACATATAATTATTTTTATTTAAAATTCTTTTATTTATACTTTACTATAGTACTTACTTTGACTTGCAACATTAATGCTGTAAGATCTGTAACAAGCTGATTCATATTCGTGGGTGCATTATCATTAATCATGTTATTCTTTGCAACCATATCAGCAGCTTCTTGTCGACATTTTTCCCTAAGATGCGAAGGTGCCAACATTGCCGCTACACTTGGTTCGGGTGCGATTTCGTGACACATATCTTGAACGTCGTTTAACATATCTTGAAGATCAGTGTTCATTTTCTCTAATTCTACTACAATTCTGTAATTTTATAAATACATCATAAAATGATTTATTTTACTATTCATTGAAATGCAGATATTTTTTAATTTAAAGATCCATTTAATCGTAATCATATAATTACAACTAATTTTGTGAAAACATAAATTCAAATTTATAAAGTTCGAGCAAGAGAGAATTTTAAGAATAATTTAGCATAAAATTGAAAAGTTATTGTTAATCCCGATCATTTGGAACTTAATGATATAAAAAATATTACCCTGCATATTTTCTTTCGAAATCTGATGGTAAAGTTTCTCCAATCGATCTTCGTTTTTCTGCTTCGGTATTCATGTCTTTTAGTTTCTTAATTTTAATTTTTTTAATAACTAAGATTTTGTTTACTTTTACCATATTTTCTAATAATTTTAAGGGGTAACCGTTCATTGTACCTCCCAAATGTGACTTTTTCGATATATTAGCATTTGATATCAGGGGATCATTATTCAGTCTTGGTGATGCCAGTTTCATCGCGTACGCTGGCGAAGGTACATATTGCACGTGTCTTGGCCTGAATTTATGGGTAAATGATGCAACGCTTATTGTTTCCGGAGGCTCATTTGACTATAATATAATATTAAAGTATTATTTCATATAAATAAAATCGAGCAAGTTCTTATTTAAGCAGTGTAATTTACATTTTTCATCTTTTATTTTTTAAGGCTTGATTAATTAGTATTTGAACAATATATAATACAGCAATAATTAAAGAGTAAACTTACTAAAACTTCATAGTCTGGTACGCTATGCGTTCCTAATCCAGCCCTTTCAAAAGTAATTCTGTAAGTATTATTACTTGTATCAACAGCATCGATACTTCCAGTGAAAAGTCCATCCTGTGGTTTTCTCAATCTTGCCGTAACTTTTGTTCCAATAACTAACTGTAATGGAATTTCAGGGGGCAAATCTTTGAAAATTTGAACATCAGCTGCTTTTCTTTGTTGAAGTATTCGAATTTTCTGCCGTTTTCTTTCAAGCTCCCGTCTTTCTTCTTCAAAGAACGCCTGTGAACATCTTCTTGGTTTGCCCATCATTCGCCGAATTTTGCACCATTCAACTCGAGTCAGCTTACGACTTTTCAATTGTGGAAATGATTCTTTTAAGCATATCATGAAATCGTTGTCACCCTCAAAAAGAGTTCTAAAATGCAATTAAGTAATTCAATTTAAAAATTGAATTTTTCTCAAATATTACTTAGAAAAAATAAAATAAAAACCAAAAATAATAAAATTTATACTTCTATATGTAATCCATTTGTTACATTGTAAGACAAAAACAGAGAGAATTAAAAGGAATATATTTTCAAACAAGAGAAAAAATTATGGATTAGTGACAATTCATAATGATACACTTACTTGTCAATGTTGCTATAAAACCATTCGTAACATACCCATTTGTGGGCTTTGGGTAATTTTAATAAATTTCTAAGCCTCATACCAATTTTCTGACCGATTTTTCTATCTGGTGAAGATGGTGCTTGTGGTTGTTTCTCAACTGTTTGTGGCTTTTCTATTTTTATTGGTTTTGTTACAGGAGTAGTTGGTGTTGAAACCGATCGTTTAGGTTCGGAATGAAAGATTTTTGGTTGTTTTTTCAGAGGCGAGAGACGTGAAATTTTCTTTGGTGATGGCTTCATCGATAAAGAATCTGGATCCTTTTTCACTCTGCAATAAAAAACTCGAAATAAAAAATTATCTAATTCGTTCAAATAATTTATATATGTAGTACAAAATTTTACATTATTAATCAAGCAAAGCTACCGAAGAAGAAATGATCTGTAAAGTAGTACAATTTGCGTATCGCTAACACATACTATACTTTATCAAATTTTAATTTAGAAGGTAAAATTACCTGTGATGTGGATGATTAACTAAAATATCGTCATAAAATAATTTATTTTTTTTTCTTATTCTAGCGGGCATTCCTCTACGATTTAGTACTTGGACAGGTTGCGGTGGATTTGGCTTTGGGGGAGGTTTAGTGCCGACTCTTTGTAGCCCTAATGCAGCCGGGCCCAACTCCTGCATTGGCTCCGATTCCTCTGTATCCATCTGCGAGTCCATCGAGTTATTATTGGAAATTCGATGATCATCTATGATATTCATCTCTTCTTCGATTATTTCACTTTTAATCTCAATGGTGGAAAGTCCTCCGTTCTTAATTGATAAAAGAGTCTCGGCAGACTCATCTGCAGAAATAAAATATTTTAAGTTTTTTTTTTTTTTTTTTTTTTTATCTCCAAGCACCTCCAAGAATACATCAAAACAATATAAGAATTCAAATTTAAAAGGCTTATGTAAGTATCGATAAAAATTGTAATAATAACACAAAAATATTTATTAGTAGTCAATAGCGAAAAGCATAATTTCTATATCTTAATACAAATTCAATAAGATTATCTGAAAAACTAAATGTTATTCGTATTAAACTGGACATCCGTACTCCAACGTCTGGCCATTTGTTGTTTCGGAAATCCTTCAGATTCGAAATACTCTGATTAATAAACATAACCAAAACTTCTTCCGAGTGCCCTCAGTCGGGAGTATCAAGTTACTCCGCTCAATTATTATAAACTACTAGTAATCGCATTAAAGAATCCGCTGAAATCAAGCGCATGACTGCGCAATATAGCAACTATTATTTTTAAAAAGTTGGCGTATTTTTGCACGTCATAAATCTTGTAAGGAATTATCGAGTGCTTTAAAAACCCAAAACAAATCGATATTGGCTTTTAAATTTCGAGTGCGCGTTACACGCACTGGCGGTCGCACGACATTCGAAAAAAAAATGAGCATCGAGATAAAATAAAGGAAAGCGGCATTGAAGAAAAATTAGGCTCGAAAAGCTCGAAAAGAAAAAGATAATAACAACAAAAGGCTTGCAACAATTTCGAACGTCACTTTTGCGTTTTATACTGCTGCTGTTGCTGTTGCTGTTGCTATTGCTGTTGCTGTTGCTGTTGCTATTGCTGTTGCTATTGCTATTGTTATTACTATTGCTGATACTATTGTTGCTGCTGCTGCTGTTGCTACTGTTGCTGCTCCTCCTGCTACTACTATTGCCGTTTTTCAAATGACCGAGCATCCTCCCTGCGCGACTTTCGAATTATCTATCCATTACTACGGCCTGATAATGCAATAATAAAGCAGCCGAGGGATATAAGAGCACGGCCGTGGAGAAAATCAGTGGGGGGGGGGGGGGCAGTCGCGACAACTCCACTGTACTTAAGTAAAAGCCGAGAAGAAGCTCGAATCGCGCGACCGACGACTAAAGCTTACTACTCCAAAGCGAAAACCAGACACGAACATAACCAAGTAGCCTCCTCGTACGCAACGACGGAGCGGACATTCTCACCGAGAAGAGCGCGGCCCTCCACCGCCGTCCCCCGAGGCCGCCTGTCGTATTAAAGACGCGCGAGACCGACGAAAACGGACCAGGATCGAGGCTGGCTCCCGACCTCGGCTCGGTCCCGAGCGTATCGGTGGCCGCTCGAGCGCTCGACCGTCGGGACCGTCGCTGGCGTTAGCGAGGAGGCGCGGGGGCCGATGGGGCTGCCTCGGCTCCTGCGGATTTTTCAAATTTTGAACAGCGAGCAGTGGGCCGAGCGAAATTCAAACGGCGACTCGAGCGGCCGAGTCTCTCGGGCCCAGACCTTGGCCCGCGCCCGGTCCCCGAGTCGGCCCCGCACCTCCTCGACTTCCCGAGGAGCTCGGTACCCGAATCCGGGCCCGGGCCGTCCCCGCGCCCCGGGAAATACATGATTTTTTATACTTACTTTCGATCGCGTCCGCCATGTTGACGTAGTCGCTCGACTGATGCATGCTGCCTCGGCGCCTTACGACTTTCCGCCAAACATCCCGCCCCTTGGATTTCGGCGCGCGCCGCCAATGTCCATTGGCCAGGATCGCGCATGCGCCCTAACGACTCGCCCATTGCGCGAACCTAGCCGACTCCAATTTTTGAACGTTGACGCGTGTGTAGGGGTTCACGTCTCGACGCCAACGCCACCACCGTCTCCTCGTCCCGACCCCTCGGCCGTCGGTCCTCGTTCGCCGCTTGTCACCCCCGATCGGGCGACCAATGCGTTATTACCGTGGTTACCGTGCCGTCAATTCGCTATGGATAATCCTCTTGGATTATACGACTGCTGTTATGCATATTCAGAGCGCGAGTTCGCCAGCCTCTTTATCATTATCCATCGCCCATTTAATTATCCGTCGGTGTGATGAGCGGTTGGGGTGGGGGGTTGGTAAGGGGTGGTGATGAAGGGAACAACGCTCCTTTTTTGGTAATCCGCCCCTATTACCGGTCCAATTCTCATTGAACTCTGATCGCTCGGGCATACATTTCGCATGTCTTGGTGCCTCGAGTAAACTCCTCGCACCTCTCTCTACACCCCCCCCCCCCCCCCCCCCCCCCCCCACCCCCCCC